AAGACCTATAATTTAAACTTACGACATTTGCCACCAAGAAAGGTTTCTACAAAGCAGTAAATTGAACTCACTAACTTCTACTGGTTCTGGTGCATTAGCATCTTTTGCATAATATATAATGACCATGATCAGGATAAAAGATTTTTCTTCGTGTCAAGTAGATCAGCAATACACTTTCCAGCTCAGTGAGTCACTTAAATGAATCAGGATGCCACCTCGGAAGGGAAAGAGCTTAGCTTCAGTGCACAGAGAAATGACACTTCACTCACTTGCTTTATAAACTAAGAAGAGAATTTTTTTTAAAAAAATGTAGTCCAATGGGTTCCTAAATGTAAATTACACTATACTCACATATTGTTGCTATACAGCTAGAGGTATGGCTTAGAGCGCACGCCTGGCACACACAAGGTCCTGGTTCCATCCATAGTGCTGTGCACAGGAACAAAGAAATGGGGGCAGAAGGAGGGAGAGGAAGAGAGTGAAAGAATGACAGAGGGAGAAAGAAGGGATTAAAATGTTAAGAGAAAAAACTGCAAGGTGTTACCTAGAATTCTATATAGAATATATATAATAAATATATAATTATAAATAATATATAATTAAATGATTATATTAGTTTATATTGCCAAAAGTCATTACAAATCAAATACCAAAAGCAGAAATAAGTATGTTAGTGTGGATTCACAATCACTCAAAACTTTTATAGGGGAAAAAATTACCATCTACAACTTAAAAAATACAAACTAGAGGACATGGTTACAAAATTAATCAGCATAGTTTTAAAACTCAAAATATTATCATCAACCAATAAAAACATATCATCACTTATCCCCTTCAAAACAAAAATATGAAGCAGCAATTTAAAAATAAGAAAAGAAAAATACAACATAATTCATTATAATAATCAAAGTTTTGAATTTTCTCCCATTTAATCAAACTGATGTAAACACAATAGGATACATCACCAGATCAGGATTATGTAAAGCAAATATGCATTTGTTCCATTTTGATAAAATGTAAATTGGTACATTGTTCTTAAAGGCCTTTAAAATATACCAGTAATAAAGTACTTGATACACAAACATCAGGACCTGGGTTTGGACCCCCAACACCCATGGAAAAAAGCTAAACTTGGAAGCATGCACCTATAACCCCAAAGTGAAAAGTTGGAGACAGGAGGACCATGGGGCTCATTGGCCAGACACTTTATCCAATCAGTGAACTCCAGGTGCGGTCAGAGACATTGACTCAAACAAAAAAGCAGAGAGCAATTGAGAAAGAGACTTCTGCTCTCTATAAATGCACTGGCACCTGCACACATATAAATACACACACACACACACACACACAGAGAGAGAGAGAGAGAGAGAGAGAGAGAGAAAGAGAGAGAACAGCAAAATTGAAAACTGAAGAAGTATACTGAGATGTTCTGAGATATTTACAAAGTTCAGACTATTATACTCTCACAGAAAGTTAAAATTACAAAATTCCATTAGTGATGGAATGGCAAAAGGGAGTGGCAGCATCATTACAAATATGTTTTATGAAATAATAAACAAGATGTCCTGGCTATGCTGCATTGCTTGGAAAATGTGTCATAATATTTGAAGTATAGAAAGCAAATTTGAGGACAATGCCTGTTATGTCCTCGTCTCCTTATGCCTTTCCTGTTTTTTATATTTATGTATGTTCACAAACAAAAGTAAGGACTAGGGAGCTGGTCCAGTGGTTAAGACCACTGGCTGCTCTTCCAGAGGACCCAGTCCCCAGCATCCACGTGGTGCCTCAGAACTGTCTGTAACTCCCATTCCAGGTATCTAGTGCCTTCTTCTGGCATCTCTGAGCACTGCACTCAGATGGTGCACAGACATACATGCCAGCAAAACACCCATACACACAAAATGAAAATGAAGGTTGAATATTCTTAAGTAGACAAGGTTTTCCCCTAAAAATAAAGGCAGTAATGTCTGAGTGGCGTAACTTGTTTTAGTTATGCATCTTACTTATCAGTACACACACACACACACACACACACACATACACAACCCAGAACTATTCCCATGGTAACTAGGCATACAGGAGGGGGATATCTAAAAACAGCCTTTTTAAATTTTCAGCATCGTTTTGATAGGGTTTAATTGTCTTAATTGACTAGTGGTAAAAATTCAAATAGCTATACACTTATGTAATAAAAGGCCTTTGGAAAATCTCTCACTGCAAGAACAAAAACCAGAGCAGCAAAAGTGGTCCGAGCCAAATTGAAATTCTAACGCACAAAAGGGGACTGCAGGGCTGAATCACTTCCAAGGGAGGCAGAGGCTCTCATTCTCTCCAGCACAGAGGTGTGAAGCTGCACTGCCTAGCAGATGGCAGGATGGCAAGTCCTTCAAAGCAGCGTATTTAATAACTTCATTTGCTGTTTACTATCCATAGCTTTGATCCAAAAGGACGCTGGACTCTCTTCAATTAATCCTCTAGTCAAATATTTTATAAAAACAAGATGCTACTTTAGAGAACAGTTATTCAAATCAATATATGGAAAGTACTGTAAGCTTGGGCTCAAAAAGGCAGTAGATTCATTTGCCATTTTCCTAATAAGAGGGACATATGGGCATAACCAGATACTGATCCATCCTGTGATCCAGTCTTTGATCAGTCACTAGTCCTTGTTAGTGAGTCTACTGGCTGGTGCGCTTTTGACCAGGATAATGGGCTGAGTGATCTGAGTGCATCTCTAGCCTAACTATCTTATCCAAACAACAAAGCCCTATTGACCTTTCCATTTGTATGTGTGCATGTTGTAGTGTGTGTGTTTGCATGTGCATGTGTATGTGTGCATGCTTGTGTGTGTGCATGTGTGGGGCCACATGTGTGAGTGTGTGCATGCATGTGTGCCTGAGTTGTGTGCATGTGTGTGTCTGTGCATGCATGTGGGTGTGCATGTTGCCTGTGTGTGCATTTGTGCATGTGTGTGTATATATACATGCGTGTGTGCAGGCACATGTGTGCTGATGTTCTCGCCTGTGCACGTACTTGTGAAGAACAAAAGTTGACATTTAGTGTCCTCTTCTTATATATTAGACAGCTCTCTGAACCTGGAGTTCTCATTCAAGATAGACCAGCTGACCCTGACTTCGCATGTCTCCCTTAACACAGAACTGACTGGAACACATAATACTGTCATGCCTGACTTTTACCTGGGTGCTGAGAATCTGAACTAGGGTTCTTATGTACCAAACACTTTACCTGCTGAACCATCATCCCAGCAGCCCACATTTTTTTTTAGTTTACTGAGAGTTTTGTTAAGGAATTGGCTTGAAGGGTTATTTAAACAAGGAAATATAACAGCCTGTTCTGTGGAAGTTAGAGAAACAAGACAATTGGCAGTATAATTCACTACAAGCTCCAGAGTCCAGGAATACGGAGTGCCAGTTCTGAGGGCAGAGGAAGCAGATGCTCAGGTTGGAGAGACGAAATTCAAGCATCCTCTGTTCTTGTCTAACAGATGAGTCAAACCACCATGCATTGTCAAGGGCACCGTGCACTCAGCCTATGGATTTGGACACACACACACATACACACATACACTGTGCTGGAGAGTAATGCTTGAGTAGTCAGCTTGGTTCTTTTACACTGTCTTTTTCTTTAGTTCACATATGAAATGATGGATTTCATTACAGCACCTTCATATGTATACATCATTGTACCTTCTCATTCATTCCCTCCACCCTCCCTTTTCCATCCTCCTCACGTGTCCTCTTTCCTTCAAAAATAAAGTCTCTTTTCTGTTCTCTGTTTTTATGTCATATTTATACATATATACACATTCATGTCATAATATATCATGTCATATATAATATATTTTACCATATATAATATTATCATGTTATATATGTGTTTATACATATATAATCATATTACTGATCTATGAATCCACAATAGAGATTGCTCCAATTTTAAAAGCATCCAGACAATTACAGACTCTGTTAAATTGACAGTGCTTCTGTGGGTCCCTCTATGTACATCAGACCTCTTTAATATTTTCATGTTTATAAAACTCAGCCTTGCTCTATAACCTACTCCAGAAGTCATAATGAACACATCATTGCATGTCAGATGTCATTTTAAAATTTAACCTTTTAACTATTCCATACATGATAAATTGTTTCTATTCATCTCTCTTACTCCTCTAGCATTCCCGTTGACCCTCTTTCCATCCCAGCTAGTCTTTCATACATTCTCATGTCTTTTCTTGCCCTGTGGACTTTCATTAGGACCTCAAGAGCTTCCGTCCATGCTGGGATGCTGAAGGGGTCATTCTCTGCAGATCTTATGCAGGTATCCACAGTTGCTGTGTGCTCATGATGGTATCCTGAGGACAGCATTTCACAGCGTTGCTTTATGTCTTAAAATGGCACTGTGACAAAAGCAATGAAACCCAACCTGGAATATTAGTAACTGTAACAAGCCTATTTCTGTGTAAATACAAACCTCCAAGCCACCCCAGTCACCACATCCTGAGTATCTTAATGTAAACTTCAAAGCAAAACATGAGATAAGACTCACCAAGTACAATGACATTTCAAACGAATTCATGCCTTCTGACTAATTGGCTTACTTAGTTATGCTAATGTATTCATGTCTCTCTGCTTTATAGTTCAACAGATAATGCTAGAGAACTGAGCACTCTGAGATTAAAGAACAAAGAAACTAACGACTTCTGCGAGCCTCTTTTCCATAAGAATCCAGATTATACATTTTTGCCTATCTACAAACATTTTGTGTCTGGGGCAAGTTTACTTCGTCTCAGAAAACACCCGTTTTTAATTAGACACCACAGCCTAAGGGAAAGCTTCAACTCTTTCTGTTTACTCTGGACCAGCTCAAAAGGGAAAAGACTTACCAGCTTGTCTTCTGCTGTAATTTCAAAACAGGCTGAGTAGAAAAGCAGTTGCCGAGGTGACCTGTCCCATCTGAACTGTGCTTTCTGTCCTTCCCAGGTGGTGCCGGCGGCCAGCAGGGTTTCCTGGGCTGTATCCGCTCCTTGAGGATGAATGGAGTGACCCTTGACTTGGAAGAAAGGGCAAAGGTCACATCCGGATTCAAATCTGGATGCTCAGGCCACTGCACCAGCTACGGGGCCAACTGTGAAAATGGAGGCAAATGCATCGAGAAATACCACGGATATTCCTGTGACTGCTCTAACACAGCCTATGACGGGACATTCTGCAACAAAGGTATGGAAGAGGCTACTTCCAGCCCCGTCTTCAAACACCTTTATAAGATTCAACTATATGTCTAGTGCTTATTCTGCTGCAAATGGTTGCCTTTGTTTCTATGGGTGAAGTGAATCCTTCTCCCACCTTAGGAGGGAACTTCTTTGTTGTTTACTAGAGACTTGACCTTGGTACACAGTTACCCAGAGTCCCGCACTGACTGAAACGTTGTTACAAAGTAGACAAAGAAAGGGACCTCTAACAGGGGACTCAGGCTTAGCCATCCCACATCAGACTCCAAGGTCAAATGCAGCCCATTGGTATTTGTGTGCTCCCACCCCCAACGCTGCTTAAGTTTGAAAGCCTGTCGGCTCAAATTGTCATTAGCATCATCATTTCTAACCTTACTCAAAACACCTTTAGGGGTGGCTCTCAGCCGACCTCAGTCTACAAAGATACTAAAAATATGCTCAGTCAACTTAGAACATCCTTTATTTCAGAACTAGTCTAGTCTAGCCTTTGGGTCTGTAGTAAATTCCACACGGACAATGAAAGTCTAAGAGCCCAATGCATGTACATGTTCTCACTGGGATATACTCTGTGCTCACGTGACTGGAAGAAATTCACTCAGCTGGTGAAGCTTTATTTCCCCCAAGAAGAGTAAAAGAATAGTAGCTGGCACTTCTCCTAAGCCCCAGAAGCCTGTAAAGCACCCTTCTTTTTCTAAACGAATTTGGGGAAAGTTTGCTGTAAGCCCTTGTTGTGTCTCATCTAAGAAGCTTTACATAAGTACCCATTCATACTCTCATGAATACACAGGGGGTTGTTTGTGCTGGCATTCTTCACATGAGATGCCACACACAGAAGGAATTGTTCCACAACGTTTGCCTGTACATCCAGGCTCCTGTCTGGCGGGGTTGGATTATGAGCATACAAATTAGATCAGACGGGATTTGAAGAATGAGTATGAGACCAAAACAAAGGTGGAAAGGAATACCATTGCTGAAAAACACCAAGACACATTAACAGGGCCATTACATTGCGTTTTTCTGCTCGGAACAACATGCTTCTGTGATTTTCCCATGGCACACAATGGAATGGGCTTGCAGAACACATCAATTTTGCACTTGTAGAAATGACAGTCTTGCAATTACCATTCATTGTGCTTGATGCTAATTTAATGCAGTCCATTCCTTTGCCAATGTAATGTCTAAATGCAATCAAGTAAGTGCTAATGCCTGAGACATTGCACTGTGTAAGTAATAATTTAAAGCAAATCGTGGTCCCCTTCTTTCTGGAGAGTTAAGTTAAACACAGCAGGTCACACAAAACCTCTGGGGGTTAATAGACAATAGTCATGAAAGGACATCTGCCTTTCCCTTTAGCCAGCATCAGAAATAAAGGTAAATGAAGTCTATATGTTTCCTCTGACATTATCTCAAAGGTTTTGTACAAAAGATATCTAAATATTCTCTTACCAGCTACGTATTACAATGAATTTGTATTGGCTCAGTGGCTTTAGCAAAAAAAAAAAAAAAAAAATTAATTGAAAACTGTTTGAAGTGAGAACCCACAACAATGGTAAGTGTATTTGAAAAGCATTTGTGAGCATCCTTCTGAGTGGAAACAGTACCTCCTCACCTTAGCAAAGACGACAGTGCTGCTAGTTTGGAGGGGAAACACAGCCACACAGATGTCTGTTACAGCGAGCTTCTCTTTGTTCAGTGGCAGTATCTTCTTGCTGAACCCCGAGGTTAGCTCTCCTCCTGCCTTCCCAGGACTCACCCACCGGGTACCCTGGTGCCTGCACAGCAGTTCCTGTGACCCTCCTTCCCAGTGGGACTGCAGCCAAACAACTCACTCTCTAGAAAAAGTAGACACATTAGCAAAAGAGTAAACTCAGTACAGGTTCTTCGGGAGCAATCATTCATGGTCTATGCTACTAGATGTGGAAAATGCTTGATATTTTCTGCGTGAATGACTCTGGTCCCAACCTGCCACATATGACCCAGTTACATGTTTCTATATCAGAAATGCCCAGGGAGGGACAAGAGTTCCTGCTGCTCTTAGAGAGGCCATACATTCAGTTTTTAACACCCATATCAGGAAGGTGGCTGCCTGTATCTCCAGACCCAGGTGTCCAGTGCCATCCCCTGGCTTCAACGAGAACATGCACTCATGTGCCCATTCTCACACAGATATATACACAAGTAAACAATAAAACAAAGTTTAATGCATGCCTATACACATCAAGTAAGCAAATTCAGAGTCCATAATAAAATATAACTGTGATGGATTTTGTTTTGTTTCGTATTACAGAAGGGTGAAAATGGTGGGACCTTTAAACTTGTTTGGGCTTACTTATATTTTAAAATCATCACCCAATGATATATTATTTCTGATTTCATTACTTTTCTTCTTCTTCTTGGGAAAAACAATAGAAGGCAGAACTCTTGCTGCAGACATTTAAGAAGTGGCTGTCTCTGATGAGAAAATGTCTAGTGATTAACTAGAATTATTGTATAATCTAGTCATGTTATCCAGAATGAATGGAGTTGCATGTCAAGTGAAAATTGATGGTAATTAAGTTACTCTTGAAAATCATCTCTCAATGCATTTAAAAGAGCCTGCTATTCAATGAACATCTAAAGGAATTATCCTTCAGTTCTCTCAGGCACATTTGCATCTTAAACAGGGGGTACTCTAGAAACTCATGTCATTAGACCTCACAGGCTATCACATCATCTGTGTTTAGAGAACTATGCCATTCCTCATCTTCTCAAGGTATTTGCCAGCCAGAGTCCACTTAACTCATCTGAGGCAGGGCCATTACACAGAAAAGTTCCTTGAGAGCCCCTTGGCTGAGGCCTAGATCAGGAGTCATCCCAGTCTTGAAGGCAAACGTATATGTGGGTGTGATATCCCAACCTCCATTAGAGACCAAATGGATAGTTGCTTAACTGTGGCAAAGAGTTTTTTTCCTAATTGTGTCCATTCTTTCTTGGATAGTCAAACTTTAAACACTCCAATATTTTATGATCACCAAAGCCATTCTTAACAACCATCATAAATAAGCAACATACTTTGCAGTACATAATCTCTCTGTGTCTCTTTAAGTGGTTTTATAGAAAACAAAAAATAATGGATTTTTGGAGTTTAATGTAGCTCCCAAATTCATCTCTACCTGGAACTTCAGATCGTCCAATGGGATACAGTTATGGCTAATATAACTGAATTAAGTAAGAGCCTAAATCCTAAGAGATAGTCCTTATAAGAGGGGTAGACTCAGAGATGCACTGTAACATAGATAAAAGGGCTATGTGAGCAAAGAGCTAAAAATTAAAGTGATAGACACCAGGATATGGGAGAATCAAGGAAGGATTCTTCTCTAGAGTCTTGGAAAATACATGGTTCATTTACTTAACTAATAGTCACAGAATACCAGTAGTCTTTATGTGCTGCTTTACCGAAACATCCAAGACTGGGTGATTTCAAAATGAATCATTTGATTCATTTTTTTAGAAACTGGGAAGTCCAAGTTAAAGGGACCCACATCCGATGAGTGTCTTCACACTGTAACATCCAATAGGATGAGGAAAAAGAGCAAGAACACGTGAGAAACCAGGAGCGTGGAAGGAAGCTGAACCCATCCTTTCATCTAAATCGATTCTCAAGATAACTAACTCATTTTCTACCATCACTGTATTAGTTCCAGGAAGGCAGAGACCTGGAGATCTAGTCACCTCTCCCCATCCTGTCAACACCTTTGCAGTGGAATTAAGCTTCCAAAGACACATTCAAACCATGATAAACATCAATGTTTCTGGAAGCTTTATTTGTCATTGAGTTTGGCCATACTGACATTTTCAGAACATTTTGATGGCTTATTCAAAATCAAAACATTTTACAGTATATTATAGCAACACATATGAGTCTCGCATCCCTCTTACAGCTAAAGATATTTCCTAATTATCCCTTTGTTTAGTCAAATTCAGCAAACTTTGCCCATAGTTATCTATCAGCCCAGGACAGCAGTGGAAAAAAAGAATCTTTAAACAATTTTCCAACTTTAGAGACTTCTTTGTTCTTCTCAATCTTTCTTTTGTTTGTTGCTTAGATAGGGTCAAAATCTGAAGCATCATAGTCATGAGACTGCTGAGTGATAGGTGGATGGTTCCATCATCAGTGTTACAATCATTTAGAACAATACAGATATGCACTGTGGTCCGGCAAGCTTCCTCTATCTCTTGAGTTCTATGGCATTGACTAAGATTTTATGATCTATGTTATTAGTGACCAGTTCATCTCTCTACTTAGGAATGGATGAATTAGGTATGGCTTTGAATCCAATGTCCTTTCTTACCCATATGATATAACCTTGAAAAACTTGAATACCACTGAGCCTCACCTTCAGGACCACATGATACCTAGTACCTACAGTCATTGCAATTATGATGATGACACTGTATATTCTGAGTTTATTTACAAATGGAGGACCTAACACTCTAAGTCCAACAGCAAATGCTATTTTATACTCTTGGCACTTCTTCCCTTTTTTTTTACATGTTTTTAAACTTTTGCCCTACAGCATATCTTCTCTTAAGCCTTCCCTAGAAGGTTTTACAGTCAGATGTATACATGATACCTTTTCAGTGACCATGAAACACTAAATTGCTACTTTGGTACTCCAAGGGCAAGTATAGAATCATAAAATCATATAGTATCATAAAATGTCTCCTTTAGTTAATATTGGACCCACTAATAGTATTCTGAAGGGGAAATGAAGTCTCCACAGCCTAAGTACTGAAAGACTAAGACCCTGAAGAAGCAGCTAGAAACACCACATCCTACCTGCTCACGCAGTACCACAACTCTTGGTGTAAAGTGGGTACCTACCCCCTTGTCAAAGCCAAGGTGAGTTACCATAGCAACTCCTACTTTCTTCCTTTTTGATGGAAGCATTAGTCTCACGTCCAAGTGAAACCTCTAAGGCAGAGAGGCTTTGCCTCTTGTTGGTTGGG